ATTTATTTTAAGTCGGGTTTTGTATTAATTTGGCGATGTAGACCCGCGCCTTTGTAATAGCGTAGGACCTTTATCTTTTCCGCACTTTAAATTCCCGCACCTTTAACTGTTAAACAATAAAATGAAAGAATGAATGCCCAAAAATAAAATCGAAACGTAGATCACCAATGCATGACAAGACAAACAATAAACTGAAAATGACACACAATTCACACACCACCCCTAGGGTACGCCTCACTGTTGCCTTGCCCCTCGAAAGGTGATCGTCGAGTAGAGGATGTCTTAGTAAGTCCTCATGATCCGGGAACCTGGCATGAGGGTAGCTTCTAAGGTGTCTTCCCATTGCTCTGGTGATCACCATGTCCCGAACCTCGAATTGACCCGAACACCTCCAACGGCGGTGCTACCTACCTCTCAATGTTGGGATGACACTACTTTAAAGGACATTTACACAGACGAATTCCTTAGGGTAGGTAGATTCTCATAGATACTTGCTCTTTTCAAAAAAACAAACAAAATACTTTTCACACCTACACTTCCTAAAAGTTTTCAAACAAATTTTTCATACACTCTTGAGGACAGATACAAGAGTTACTTAGAGATTTTTCAAACGAAACTTTTTTCAAAACCCACTCACCTTGAAAAGCAAACAAACATTTTGAAAACACAATGAGCAAGTATCTAAGAGCCCATGGATAACCATGGATAGAAAGGGTGCTAACACCTTCCCTTTCTATAATCTACCTCCCGAACCGAGAGCAATCTCTATAAGGAATTTTTCTGTGCTTTTGTCCTTTCCATTTGGAGAAAATAAAAGACGGTGGCGACTCTTGCTTACCGCGACATTTCGCGAAACCAGCTAAAAAACAGTCAGTTCCAGATCCACCGATCACAGGTGGGACAGAAGTCATCGACGAATTTGCAAAGTTTGGCGTAGGTCGCCTCATCTTCCTCGCCCACGGGCCCCTCCGGGGTAGAGTAGTAGCCGAGAAGATGGTTGAAGTGAGTCAAATTCCAATGGAGGGGGAACTTCGAAACCACCTTCATCTGCACCTCCTCGTTTTCATGAAGAAGCGTGCAACCCTCATCGTCGACCAAAATCACTTCCTCCAGCGCCGAATCAAACGCTTCGTATGACACTGGCTTGACGAGAAAGTATTTGTCCTTAAAATCACGGACAGACTCCAGGAACATCTTAAAGAGCTTCTTCTTCATCTGCTTCAAAGAAATCCAACCATGTTTCCCTTCACGATTTGTCGTTGAATACAAAAGCAGCAGAAGAAGACGAGGATCATGGCGCCGATCTTGAGATATCTACACACTATCTCGAACACCGACATGAATGAGATTGAATTCAGGTGCAGCTGGGAGGGCACCAAAGATAGATGCCTGAAGACCGCAACCTGGAAGCTGATGAAGGATAGCCGAAGCCCCAACTCTTTGAAAACTATCTCATACATAGGAATGCAATTATTTTTATAAAACGAGCAATTTCGTTTTCTCGCAGAGGGCTTGAGTACTTTCCAATGTCTGACATATGGGTCATCCTCCTTGTAAGAAACATGCAGGAACACATTCTCCAGAGATGCCGCATAACGATAAGTTATGTTGCACGACTCAGGAGCAACCCATACCAGGTGAGGGTCAGTGACCGAGTCGGCCATTTTAACATCTTCGACAGCTTCAGCCGTTTCACCTGAAAAGCAGCAGAGAACAATGAATTTGACTTTTAAATCAAACCCACCCTTCCACCATAAGTCAAGTGAAAGGGCGCACCAAAAGACGAGGAAATAATCCACGACCTAAACCTTTGCTCAACATTTCACAAGGAAATTGCATCCAACCAAGGGCCAAGGGCGCGATCCGAATAGACCAGATAAACAAAGGCGAGGACTTCACACGCAGAAAAGTCATCCCTGATTAATAAATCACATGAGGGGTCCATGAATCTCTCAAGGAACACATGAATCTCCCGAGGAGAAACATGAATACCTCGGGCGAAATCATGAACATCCTGGGGAACATATGAATCACCCGGGGAGTAACATGAATATCACATGCGAAAATATGAAGCTTACGGGGAGCGAATGAGTACCACGAGCAAAAGTGCGGATTTCGCATGAATATCGCGGGGAAAACCTTCCTAGGGTGCGAAGTTAGTCTAAAACATGGATGCTTAGAAGATCAAATTGACTACAGAGAAAAGGGAAACCACATACCTGGCTGAGGGTTCATCTTTAAAGGGCACGACGACGACAACGACTGAAGGCAGCTCGACAGACAGAGAGTGAGAGGAGAGCAGACACAAGGGAAAGGAAAATGTGAAAATGTACAAATGAAGCCCTGAAGCCCTATTTACAACATTGCACGAAAAGAGAAGCGTCACTTTAAGTGGTGTGCCTACGCCCCGACACGAAGTTGCCTATATCCCTACAACATGATGACATGTGACACTGAAAGCAACTGCCAACCAGATCCTTCGACTCCCTGAAAGTCGAGCGCTCCCCCAAGACACGGGCGCAAGGACCATCGGGAAAACTCCCCGCGAGTATACTCCAAACTCTTGACCATGGTACTCAAATACACCCTCCTTGGCTGATCATCTGCCCTCGAGCGAAGCTAATTGACGAGGAAGATTACTTAGTTTTAGGACTATATCTCCTTTATTAGAACGTGCTAGACCGGAAATCCATGTCCCCGTCACGTCGATCATTCTCCGATCGAGGGTTGAAGGCATGAGCCAACCTAAAAATCATAGTTCATATACTTAGGAGCGACGACTTGGGGGGCTTCTGTTCTGGACTAAGCCTACACTTAATCTACCGTAGGTCAAGGCCTAGCCTAATATCGCTAGAGGCCCAATAACCTGTTGGGGACCATGCCTGCACTTGTTCCTCAGTCAGACACATCTTCCTTAATAACCCAAAAGGCTATGACATGTCGAGGATCTCCCCTCCGAGGGCCTGTTGAGGACCTCTCCTTTAAGGGAACATCGAGGGCCTCCCCTACGGGTACGCCGAGGACACCTCCTCCCCGTATCCGTCGAGGACTTCTTCCCTACGTCCTCACGCAGAGAACGTGGCTAACAGTCCTCAGAATATTGCAGAATCATCCTGCTCCCGAAAAGAATGGGTCTTCACACCGAGAATCGTGGAGCAGTTGAACCATGATAGGGACCATGGACTAGTCCCACCTACCCACGTAAGATCCTGGAAGTCTCCATTATGGGCCTGGACATCCAGCCCAAATGGGGACCTTAGCCCAACGCTAGGGACAATAAATACTCTTTTTCACTAAAGGGTCAGATACATTGTTTACTACACACTTATACTTTCTGCTTGCATTGTTGTTCATATACTTACTTTGACATCGAAGCATCTTGCAGATACCCCTCCCCCCACTCCATCTTTAACCGCCATTCAGTTCCAATTTGTGGGTCATCGATGATCCATTCTGATTAGGTACGATTATTATCTTTCTTGGATATTCTTTGTCTAGAAACATTTATAGTGTTTTCAATAATATAATCTCTATCGTTGAAGAATTAATTCATGTATCATTTGATGAATTCAATCTCTAAGAGACATGAAAAGGTATTTCTTCTGGTTTTGGTTGGCAACCTAGAGTCATTGTGATTTATGAGTCTAAAGACTTATCTGCTATACATTTGCTACCTTGTTTAGAAAATTGCATAAACATGAAATAGAAGTAAAAGGCTAGCTGAGAATGAAGAATGCGACAAAAAGAAGAAACATTTTGCATTAAAAGTTACAAAGGTCAAAGACATGGAGTCAGAAGAGAAAAACTGTCAAAGTAAAACTGATGAAGACATGGATCTTATGTTTTACAAACTCGAGGAATTCCTAAGGCACAAAAAAACAAACTCAAAAAAAATTCAGAAGTAAAGTAAATAAATATGAACCTACATTTCAATTTTCTTCTAGTGCAAGAAGAAATGTCACATAAAACCATAATATCTGCATAATCAAGGGAGATCTAAAAGATACAAAAGATCATAAAAAGTTTACATTGCATGGAACGACAATGACTTATACTCCATTGAATTTGAAAAAGAGGAAATAGACCTACCTATGCCCCATGAGAAACCACGAAAAAAATAAGGTAATTTATCTAACTTCTGAAATTACCAATAATGATTTATTTTACATCTCTACAAAGTTGAATAGGATTTTAAGTAAATTAAAACACATTGTTTCTACCTATAAGACTGTTATCTCTTCTCTTAAAATAAAAAATAAAAAATTATTGAAAGAAATAGGTAGCTGTAAAAACATAAAGTATTATAATTCAAAAATCTTCTTGTCATTCTTCTAATTTTCATTTAAGTCAACTAACATATCTTTATTGAATTATCTTCCTCATCTTACATATCATTGTTGATCAAAACATAATCGAATCAATCGATAATTTTAATTAAATATAATTATTATCTTAACAACATGTCACTACCTATTTAATGATTTACCACTACTAAATTTTTTTATATTATTAATATTTATTTTATCTTTTATGTTACAAATTCTCTATTTTTCTTTAAAAAAATTGTAGATTTTTTACAAAGCAATAAACCTCTTTATTTATTATAAATAAATAAATTTTAAAATCAGTTACGTTTCAAACTTTACACCATAAAATTTAAATTAACATATAAAAAATATGAATAATTTACTCATTTAACATATATTTAATTAAATTACGATTCATAATAATTATGAATAATTGTGATAAATTGATGGTGTAAAGTTTTACACTCATGATAAATATTAATTAATCTTTTTTTTATATTTAGTATTTTTAACAATATAATTAATTTTAATATTTTTTATTATATTATTTATATTTTACTTCAACATAGTAAAAAATGAATGAGATTGTAAATCATATGCCATAAATAATCAAAATTGAAAGCAATACACAACCACACACACCTTGGATTGGCCGATAAAAATCCTATCGGAATCGAAATACTCATCGCCGGAATGACCCCCGCCGTGTCAAACGTTTCTGGCCGCCACACGTTAAGCCAAATCCTTGCAGAATTCTCCAAGTTCGCCGTAGACTCCGCCATCGATGGCTACCTCAAAATCATCCCTGGTCGGTTTTTCTTTCTCCCTCGCTCTAATCCAAATCTTTTTCCGTTTTGTTTCAGGATCATATTCGGTTGTTGTTTTTCCGTTGTGTGATTGAATGGTATAGTTACATCGTTTTTAGTTTTTATCTTTCTATTCCGGTTTGGTTAACCATGTATTGTGCATGTTGTTCGGTTATAAACCTGAAATGAAAGATTTAGTGACTACAAGAGATGGTGGAAGACGATCGGAATGCACGTTCACACCGTAATACTTTGAAAAAAATGAATAGATTAAACATAATCCCAAGCGTAGGTCGACAAAGATGCCCACACTTTTTCAGAGGTGTCACGATCAATTCACTAGGCGATTGGGGGATAGAGGTTTAGGGTTAGGATAAAAACAGGCCTTGATTTGTGATGATATCATATATTGTCCTAAAGTGTAACCAATTTCTGCTAGGATGAAGTGATAGTAGGCTTAGATCAAACATTCAACAAAAATAAGTAGGCTTAGGCGTGCCCAAAGCTAGATTACCATTGATTTATGACTATCTATGTGATGGGATTTACCACTTCCAAAATCAATAGTGTACTTGAGAAGAAAAACTGATGAGTTATATATGTTGAATGAAAAATCAACAAATGAGAATTGAGATTCAAACAATTTTTAACGTGTGTATATATGACGACGCAACAACGACCAAACAGTCATGTATATAGATCAAACAATTTTAGTGTTTTTCCCAGTAGGTAGGATCAGGTACATCGATCAAACGATTTTATAATTTGTTTTTATTGATCATATTTTTATTTAAACATTTGAATTTCAAGTCTTTTTTTATTAGCTTTTCCTTGGTTGTTCTTGTTGTTTCTCTGTCTTTAGTAATTGGACTACTATTTTAATTTACTCTCTTTACTAGGAAATCTAAAATCTCCTCTATGTCCTAACAACCTAAGTCGATTGTTTTCAATTAAATTCTATAACTACTTTTCACATAATATTTTTTCGATTTGAGTGAACATTACTATGCTTATTGCAGGTAGAAAGCATGCAGATAAGACGATGCGGGAAGAACTGATAAACATACCAATGTCGACACCATTAAAGACCAAGAAACACCTGGGTGAAAAGGTTGCAAATGAACTCTTTTTTGAAACAAAAGTGGAGCAAGGGAAGGAAGAGATGAAAAATATAAAGCAGCAGTACAAAACATCAAACAAAATTGTTGAAGATTCCCAGCCTCCAAACAAAATGGGTGATAATGGCTTTAAGGGAATTAATCTAATACAGAAAGATGAGAAAAAAGTATTCATCCGGTCTCGTCTATAGACGGCTTGTCTATAGAATGAAATTTTCTTAATAGCAGCACTATCTTTCCATCACTTGAGTATGGATTTCTCATAAAATAATAGTAGGATCTGATATGAATTTCACTCAAATAGAGATGTTGGTGTGTGAATATTGCTAGCAAAGGCAGTCTAGTATAGTGGTTTGTTTGTCTTTTTTTCTCTTCTGATCATCTGTGAAGCTGAGTGATTTCATATAATATGCAATGATATATGACGTATTTCATTTACATAGAGTTAAATATAGAGTAAAATAAATGTTTTCTCATTTATATTATTAAGCTTAATTGACATGTAAATGATTATTGTAGTTATTTGAACTTATAAACTAAGGCAATAAAAAATGAAAGAAGTACTTACCATAGTCATTTAAAAAGTAAAGCTTGATGAATCCGGTTTTGAATCGGTAGTATAATCTCAAACAGACTAAAATCAATATCTTAAACTCTTTGTTTTAATATGGTCGTTAAGACTATCAAAATCGAAAGATTGGTAATCTAATTAATTTGATATATGCTCTCATTTATACTTCCAATTTCAAGTATAATCAGGATATGTTTACTAAATCGTTAATAGGTTAAATTTACCTTAGAATTCTCGCTATAGAAAACAATTATGAATTTGTGCGTGGCTTTGGCAATTTAAAAACGCTAGAGGCAAATTACTTGAGTCACATCAACCATGTGTACTAATGTGAATAAAATGAAATCCATGTTACAATGTTCTCCTTCCGCTGCCATGATCCAGATGCCACATTGCCTTAAATATGAAATCACACAAGTACATCTTCATAAAAAATAGATTTATCTATAAATATTAATATTACATTCTTCCCCTTAAAAGGGGTATGAAACAATCATCTATTTTATCCTCGTGGTTTACAATACACAAGTGAAGCTCTATTTCCAAATAAATCAACACACCAACTCCATCACAATGCTCCAGTAAGGGAAGATACTCTCGTGCCACTGGGAGCAAGTCACAACTGCGATTCTAAAATGCAAGCAAATAAATCACACACCAACTCCATCACAATGCTCTAGTATGGGAAGATACTTTCGTCCCACTGGGAGCAAGTCGCAAGTGCAGTTCCAAAATGCAAGCAAACAAATCATTCCATTTTGCCTCTACAGCCCCAGATGACACGTTCAATGAAATTCAACCGACTTGTCTGTACTAAATAATCCCCTTAGAAATGCTAGAAGTTGCATTTATCTTTAGTGTGCGCTCAGGGATGTAGGTAACACCTGTTTAAAACCAGAATGTATGATAAACCATACATGGTAAAAATATTTGATTGACATAAATGTAAGAACATATGTTTTGCAGTTTGCACATGGAAATACATAAAGTAACGACGATAGAAAAAGGGAAACATATTAGAATGTAGAATAAATAACAGAGGATGGACCCAAATGACGCTTTGCAAAGAAATATCACAGCTGGGGAATCAATACAAGACTGCATCATAGAATATGCATGACTAAAATTTTCTGTAATTAAGTTGCAAATTTTATTGTGATGCTAATGAGTGATTGACCAAATATGAAGTATTGACCAATTACTTTTAAGTACAAATTCAAGAACGTAGGTATGATAGACACAACATGCTAGCAACTGAGGTTGGCATGTGGGGAACCAGATTTCAGACCAAGGATCTAGGTACTTTGAAGTAGTTCATGAGAAATTTAGACGTAAAACGAGAAGTTTGAGAATCTCCTTCTGAGGTTAGCATGTGGGGAGCTATACTTTTTGATACTTTGATGGTTCCAAATCTTAAACACATTCCAGATGACGGCAGTTACAATCTGATCCAGAAATTCCCACAAGTTTAAATGGTATTGGTGATTTAACTATCTAACTTATATGTCCAAACATTTCCTACCCAGGAAGTGTCGTCAATTAATTCATTCCTACCCAGGAAGTGTCGACAATTAATTTCCCAAACATCTACTTTCTTAACAAGAAAAATCATCATCCAAATGTGTGTTGATCCATACCTTTTTCTTTGACATCAATTTGCAAAGAGTCAAGCCTGATTGTGCCATCAGTCAACGGGAGTAGCTCAAGCTTAATAGTAGAAGTGGATTGAGATGGGATACATCTGATACGGAGAGTACATGGTTTTAAATTGATCAGTGTCCATTTAAACTTTAAACAAAACCACAAATAAAAACAAGACATAATATATTACCCCAGTGGAACTCTACTCTGGAGCCACAGATGAGTACAACTCACGACAGAATTAGGGATGACATCATTCTTAGAATCTGTTTGAGATCTGCCATCGTCATTTATTCTTCCCAAAAATTCTGTGAAACCAATAAAAGGACTTGATGGAGTGGCTGGTGAACTCAGTGAGACCACTGAAGGGGGTGAAATAAAAGATGCTGGAGCAAGCACTGTCAGTGTTAGATCCTCAGATGTCAAATTCGAAGCTTGAAGAGTTAAAACCTGACAAAGAAATGGCATTTAGATTAATCCAATTGTAATTTTAGTAGAATAATCATAGCCAACAAAATATGAGCACTAATGCAAGATCCCAACTCAAGATAGTCAAAACTTAAACATATATTGACCTGCACAGCAAGTTGAGAATTTCTTTCAGAAGGTCCTGGAGACTCTCCTGATGTCTCAGATGCAACAGAAATCATAATATCCCTCGACATACGTGGGCGCCAACTGGTTGGTTGTTTAAAGAATAATTTCGATGCTTTATTACGAACAAAATGAGGAAAAGAACACTAGTTAGCACCTTTATATTCGTTGGTATAACAGAACCAATCAAGAGGGACAAAAGGCTTACTTGTATAATTGCATCGACATGACACCATAACTGCATACTGATCGTCAACTGTAGAAATCTTACTTCTGTCAAGACTATTATTGGAAGAAAAACTTAATTTTGATGCCGAGCTTCCAGATTGCAACTTTGAAAAGTGGGGACTTTCATCCGGAACCTTTAGATGATTACAAACAGATGTTGCAGGTTTAAGGATGAAAGAGTGCTCCTCACCTCTCCTGTATTTAGAAACTTCTAATAAGATGAAGAATAGTAGAGTTAACTGCATAAACCAAATTCTGAATTTCACATTCTCTTAATAAAAGCTAGTCAGATTGATCCATCCAACCCCAAGCTAACCAGATTGATCCAACCCCAATATACATTGCCATGTGATACACATTTTTTTCCCAAATTATGAGTGGTAAATATTTTTTGGTCCATAAACAAAGATAAGCATGGCATTCTCCAAGGAATTTTTTTGGATTATTTTATGCCTTATTATGACAGATTCAACTAAGTTTTACAATGGCCACTAATTTGTTGACTGTGCTACACAACCTTCATTATAATCGTTAGAGGCACATCAAAAAAAAAAAAAAAAGGATAAACTACTATGAAAGACTTGGAGATCAATAGTTTGATGGGGAGATGTATCATGACATGTGACATTGGAAGTTATTTAGATCTGGTTGAACATATGTTATTGGAAGTTAGTGAGATCTGGTTGAACATATGGTATGGTTGAACATGAACATTAAAACTAACAACCAAACTTTATCCCACTAAATGGATCGGGTATGCTACATGGATCAAACTACACCATAATGTCCTATCAAAAACCATGTTTCTATCTAACTCATCAATCTCAGGATCTTTCCTAATAGTTTCTCTTATGGTTTTTCTAGGTCTTTCTCTACCTCTAGTTGTTCGACTACCCTTCATCTGATCTAGTCTTTTTACTACAGAGTCCATAGGTTTTCTCTCTACATGCTCAAACCATCTAATCTATTTTCCACCATCTCTTCTACTTGGGTGTTACCCCAATATTCTCTCTAATATTGTCATTTCTAATTATCTCGTCTACTCTAACCACACATCCAACGCAACTTCCTCGTCTCTACTACACTTATTTTATTTGTGTTGATTCTTTACCGCACAACATTCTGACACGTACAATGTTACTAGTCTTACAGTTGTCCGATAGAATTTTTCCTTTAATATGAGTGGTACTTTTGTGTCACATAAAACACCCAAGGCCCTCCTCAATTTCAACCACCCAACTTGAATTTGATGGTTTACGCCTCCTTCTATTTCTCTATTGTTTTGTACTATGGATACAAGATATTAAAACCGTGTAACCTGTGATATGATACGATCTCCAACTTCCACCTCTACGTTAGAAACACCTCTCCTTTTGCTAAACTTACATTCCATATACCCCGTTACTTCTACTTAGGCGAAAGTCATACACTTCTATGTCTAGTCTTCAAGTCTCCAACCTCTCATTTAACTCCTTCCTTGACTCTCGAAATAGAACTATATTATCTGTCAAAAGCATGCATTGTGGTGCTAACTCTTGGATGTGTTTCGTAAGTACATCTAAAACTAAAGTAAAAAAGTAAGGACTTGGGGTTGAACGATGGTTCAATCTTTGTTATGGAAAAACTATGTCTCTCCACCATGTGTCCTCACACTAGTTGAGACTCCCTCATACATATCTTGGATAGCTCGAATATAGGTAACCCTAACCCTTTTTTTCTCTAGAGCTTTCCACAAAATCTCTCTAGGCACTCTATCACAGGCCTTCTCCAAGTCACAATGAAAACTAAGTGCAAGTCTTGTGGATCTATTTGATACTGCTCCATCACACGTCGTAGTAGATAGATCGCCTCCATGGACGACCTTCCAAGCAAAAAAACAAATTGATTATCAGTACCTTCAGTCTCTTTTCATAGTCTCCGTTCAATCATTTTCCCATAACTTTATGATATGATAAAACATTATTGTAAGTTATTGAGATCATTGTTGAACATTATGAAATATTCCTATTATTTTGTATTATTGAAAATTTGAGGAAAGAATCTCTTCCAAGGACTGCCCCTTAACAAAGGGTTTCCCCTTTAACACAAACTATAAAATTCTCAGAATGAAACCTTTCTATTTTTCCCTATTTCTCTAATTGTGCCTCCTTTAGCTAACTTCCTCGACTACTTACTCCACTTTATTCTACCCTTCTATCTTAACACCCCACTCCACTTAAACCTTGATCATGCTTATCCATTTGTTCATACAAAGGATTATGCATATGGTACAGTGGGAATGCCAACTGAACTAAGATGTTACAAGTTACAGCTCATATTAGAGAGAATTGTAGCTGTTGTAAAGCACTAACTAATTAAATTAGATAAACGGGAAAATACATTCTACTAAAATTCTTGACCTATTATTATGATGCTAGTTCCATGAGCCTAGTTTAATACTAAAGACTGAACTCAGTCTTTCCTCCTCCTAATGCCTGAACAGCAGCATAAATTCATAGTAGTAAAATATTTCTTTGTAAATTTCGTTTACGGGGTCAACGATTTCTTATCCTCCTCTTTCTAATTGACATATATCATGTTACTAATCGCCTTAAAGTCCTTCAGATGCTGCTAGCTTTCAAAAACAAAAAATCAATTCCTATTCATACCTACATTCTTCCTTTTTTACTTTAAAAAAAAGGTATACCTTTTTTTAAAAATGTTTTCCACAATTTTTTCCCAAAAAAAAAAAGCTTTTTAGAAGAACTGGACCCTCCTCCCTTACTTTGCCAAAAGTTAAAATAACCATTCCTCCCAAATTTGCAGGAGGGCAAGGGGATAGATTCCGTAGCATCTTGAAACAAATTTCCCCTTCTTTTGCAGGGTTAGGATCACTCAGCAAGAGGATATATAGAACTGATTAACATAGGGTGCGCACCAAGATATTGGATAAGGAACAATACAAACAACATTAATAAACATAATAAGAATAACAACCTGAGGGATAAATTTGGTAAAGAATGGTCGTTTCCAGCTTCAATACATGCAAATGGTAATGATGACGGCGGTCCAGCTTTTGTTGCTTCTTCAAATATAATTGTAATGGCATCAATAAATATGACAATATCCGGAGCATGTAGAGGAGCAACATTCTGAAGAACAACTTATAAAATATTAATAAAAAACAGAAGCCGGGAACAATTGACAGTATAAATGGCCTTTCCCCCACCCTCAAACCCAAAAAAGGTACGAAAGTTCAAACCTTTATTTGAACGCACAGAAGATCCTCTGAATTGCAGTCAGCAGCAAAAGAATGAATCTCTACAGGTTGTATTATTTCAAGGTTCCTTCTCCACCTTCTTCCTGGGGTATAGATACCTTGCAATCCACAACAAACAGAAAATCTTTCTCGCTCCAATGAGACACCTCGAAAAGATAAAAGTTCTTCAGCCTCATTTTTTTTCCTTATAAACTTCTGAGATGAGATCTGGTCCCACTCATCAATGTCAAAATCTGGCTTCGAACTAGCTGCTTTCAAAGGACCAGGCGGCGGAATAGTATTTTGAGGTAATGATGACATGGAATAACTTCTAAAATGGCTGCCAAAAGAAAATATCTGAGGGCCAGATGAGGGTGAAGAATTGTACCGCTGAGAGGTGCTACTGGCTCCGGAGTTTGTAGGCAAAAGAGAAGGAGATACTGGGCGAGAACCAGAGGGAAGAATGTTATCTAATGGAAGTATCCATTTCAAGAGGTCTCCACATGGATCCTGATTTGTATAAAGTGAATTGCCCTGGTTCTCAGAAGACAATATTTTCCCTTCATATTTTTCATATTGGAGAATTTCTATACATGGGTCTCTAAGAAAATTAACACCAACATTCACCTGCAAAAGAACCTGGATCCTTCCAAACAGGAAAATAGAATCAGATCAGTAATCTGAGCAAATGAGATTATTCAAGCATATTTGGGAGGATTTTGTGTATTGAAAACAAAATATACCACAAATGAAGTTATAAACAATGCATTTAATGATCCACATGAGTTTCACAAGAATACTTCACAAAGATCTTTTGAAGTATTAAAGAAACATGGAAAACGACCATGAAATATATTCAAAACTTGAGAAATGCTCATGTTCACTTAAGAGAAGAAGCCAACTAGATTAGTGCAACAATTTCCCAACAGAATATATATCCTAGAAATTTCATTAATAATAATTAACAATGATCGTTACATAAGTTAATATACTCCCTAACAGCCCAAGTACTATATAGATATTGTTTGCTCCAAATTCCCTAGAGATACGTAAGGATTTTAAATGTTGATAATGCAGTTACAAGACAAAACAGAGCTGAGTATGCAACAACTCATAGCAACCTCATCTATGAGTTTTACAATCAAGATAGACAAATGAACTGGATTCCATGTTTCGCATCTAAGAGTTATTTCTAGCTTCATATTCACAAGACAGTGGTGCATGCACGCACATACAGATACCGTTGAAAAGTTACAAATGATTTTATATCTTAAGTAAGAGATGGCCAAGCTGCTAGTAAGTGTGCATGTTAGGAAAATGAAAGTTTAAGTGATCAGTCGGGAAGAAGAGGAGAATTTGTAATCAGTCCCAAATTGAACCAGAAAATAATGCCCCAACTGACAGTGGAAGAGAATTACAAAAACTTCAGCTAAAGAAAATGCTTAATCGTATTATCAACAATCTATGGCACATACCACTATGTCTCCATTAGGTAGGGCACAACACTTTACAGAATTTCTCGCCACTCCACCAGAAATAGTTGCATCAAAATTTGCTCTATCAATAACTGCACTAATAGAAGACTCATGTTTCACAGTGTCTTTCACTTCAATTGATGAGATCTTTTGGCCATTTGTCTCAGAGAAGATGGACTTTTTTGAAGAACCATGTTTAGACCAAAGTGGCTCATCAGACTCACAAATCCTCACAAAAAAGTGTGAACTCTTGAATTTGTCCAACAACGATGCAGTCTGTCTTTTATGAACCTCCATTCTTAGAAGGGACTCACCAGAAGAAACATCTGCTGGGTGATCAGCCTTTGCCTTTGGCAGCGTTTCCTTGTTCTCATCTTGACCACTAGGACTAAGTTGCTCTTCTCCAGCTACTGAGTTATTTCTGTGCTCGATGTTCCCGTTTTCTTTGTTAGGGCTGTGACCTATGCCATTCTTACTCATCACGGCAGCAACTTTAAAGGGGGTGATAATTTCCGTGTCCTGCTTACATGAGGACAAGCATGCCACAATATGAACTTGTTCACCTGAGTTATAAGTATAAATTAGGTCCGTGTAACTTTCTGAACGAGCTGGCAGACCAAATAACATATTTGAACACACAGAATTGTCCTCCAAAGAAGGAAAGAATCTTACCAGGAAAGAGAAAGGAACGATCTAGAGGACGCAGGGACTGGATATCTGATACGTGATTCCAGTCTTCAGGAAGCTCTTCTATTAAAAAAATGGAAACAAATATATCAAGTTAGGACAAGCTGAACAGACAATCTTAAAGTAAAGACAATAAAAAACTATTCCCCTAACTTCAAATTAATAACACTACCCCTCTAAAATGAATGCCAATCAAAATCATCTTGTGCTCATAATTTCACTCATCCAAAACTCCGCTGCCACTGAAGTAGAATTTGACAAACAGTCATAACTTAATCAAACAGTTTTGCTCAGTCCTCCTCAGTACTACCGCCCTCAGTAGAATGATGAAAATGTTATGCACCTCTTTTTAATTTTGTGTCCTACAACATTCAATCTCTAAAACGTACCCAGATTCCTCATAATCAGACAAAGTCACAAAACACTTAATCACGCAGTCAAAGGATCTAACCCACCATTAGATAAAAATCAAACAGCTGGTATACTGACTTCACCAAATCAATTTTTAAATAGATCTCGAAATATGATCAGTCTGATCTTAATCAAACAACTGATAACCAACTTTGTGAATGCACACAAAGAATCCAAATCCCTCCAAAACGCAAATAAATAATAAAAATCATCTGTAAAGCTTAGTCAAACTCTAACACGTCAACCCTGGGTATTATCAAGTGAAAAAAAACAGAACAAAACGATAACTACAATCCTGAACTCATTCGGTTCCACCTTTCTAATCAAACTAAAATTAACCATCTTTTTTATCTCAATACAAGATCTCTCCTCTTTTTAGAACATAGCACACCAAAACATAACACATATAACAACAACATATCAAACATTCTAACAAGTCTAACATACACTACTTAAATAATCATTAACACCGTCCGCAAATCCTAACTCAACTGGCAAAATACTGATATTATTAGGTTGGATGCCAACAACAGAGTTCAAATCCCGACTCTCACGGTTGTTTGTGTGAGTTTCTAGTGATTATTACCACTTCGTCTACAGATTAAAAAAAAAAATCAAAATAACACCAATACAGTAATTGTTTTTACTGATTAATCAAACAGTAACACATACTATAAGGAATAGCAATCCATCCTTCTTCTTCCGCCACATCCAAATGCTTAGCCAACAAACTGGCATCATTTTTCAAATCACAAACTCCATTCTCCCCATCAATCTCTCCCTCAAACTGCTCCACCGTGGTACCATACCTCGCATACGGATCCTCCGACAACAAACTCTCCAAAGAGTGATGAGAGCCTTGAACCGGACGAGGAGTAGTAGAAGGAGGCGGAAGCGGAAGCGGAAGCGCATCACCACGAGGCCCCGGAATCGATGAATGTTTATCATCTTTATCTTTATCTTTATCTGAATGTACGTGTGTTGATGAACGCATCAAGAAATTCATATTTGCTGCAAAATTGAAAAACCAGTGGCTAGGGTTTATAAGAGTTTTTGTGAAATGATCGAGGATTCGAGAAATGGAAATGGAAAATTTGAAGGATCGAGAATACCTGAGATTTGAATTGAAGCAAAGAGGATTGATTGTAACAAGTAGAGTTGCGTGATGCAACCACCAAGTACGATCAACCAATTCACTTCAATCTCGATCTGAATCTGGACTATCAACTCTTTACACTCTCTCTGTACAGTGAAGATTGATTTTCTTAACTCGTCATGTTAAACGCGGCGTTTTGGTTCGGGGTAATTATGTTTAGTTTGATTTCAGTTTTTTTTTTAAATGAAAATGTGATTGGACTTTTCAGTTATTATGATGAATATGTGCCTCAAAAAATTATTTTAGTATGAATTAGAAATTACTCACGATCTTTTATTTTTATCCCTATGCTGTACCTAGCGACACGGACATTGATGACCGTAATTCACACACATGGGTGTTTAACAATACAATAATAATATTGGGAGGAGGAAACCGGAATTACTTGATGTGAAAATTGAACTTCGAATCGAATTATATATCGGTGATGAAAAATAAATAAAAAAATACAATAATAATATTTATTTATGAAATTGAATTAATTGTGTTTGAAGTATTGTATTATTATTTATTATGTTCTTCTTTTGATATATTGTGAAGAATATTGAACATCGTACCTTAATTATTGTTGAATGCTTAACATGTATTTTTTGGTAGGCTCAATGCTTTAACATGTATTTGTTTTCAAAACACACTCTTTCAACAAATCTATGTGGTTTTTCTTTTTTGCAATTGGATTTTTTTTATAGTAGTTTGTTTAGTGTTGAACCGTGTTAATTTGACAATTCATTTAAAATTTATAAATAGTGTTAAACATTTTGCAAAGTCCCACAGATCAATGTATATTTGGTGTTCTCTAAATATAAAAACTGTCTAATATGTATAACTGTAATGAATTGATTTATTTTTTGAATTTTATAGGGAATCGACACCGAATGAGGTAGGCATTATGCCATTATATTAGGAATTATTTTTGTACGGGATGATTATGCTCTCGAAATGTCAGCTGACAAAAGAGAAAAGTGACATCAGTTTAATTTTAAGCATGTGACAACTCACACATCACAAGAATGAACTGCAACTTTTGTGAGATTTAGATCCTGTAACATTGCTTGCATTTTATTTTTTATGAGTTAGTTTTGTTCCATGTCATTTTTTCCATGTAATAATTAATAACTGGTTTTGTCAAAGATTTTCTATTTGTTTTCTTTTAATTATGCAGGTGAAAATGACATTTCTTGATGAGCAATTGGAATTTTTCAATGACAGAGAAATTGAAGATTTTGTAAGTGTTGTATCAAACATGTTAATCAACTACTTATTTAACATTTAACTAATAAGTTATCATTGAATATTACTTTTACTCTCTTTTTTTTAAGTCAACTTGTCAAGTCTTGCAACTTATCAAATCTTTTTCTCTTTTCATTCCATCTACATGGTCCAGTGGACAGAAAGTTATTATATTATTGATATTAGACTTTTCTTTTGTTTAGTTATGTCTGGAGCCAAAGTGCTTATAAAATTTGTTCTAAATCTTTTATTGCAGGTTCAATGGAGTTGTATCGCATGAACTCTTTAATGATCATCCAAATGTGCACATCTTTCATCGTAAAGCTACAATATTTTTGGGATAGTGGAATTCTGAGGTATAAAATTGATATCTACTTATGCATTGCTTCTCCTCGCAGTCCACGGTTCAACCTTCCTGATGATTGCTACTATGTCAGTTGTTATTGGTTCATTTGGCTATATGGCTCCAGGTAAAATTCATGACATTTCATTCATCATTTTTTCATTCATGCTAACAATTATATCTCTTATCTTGCAGTAGAACACTTAGGTATTTTTCATTGTACTGAAAAGTCTATGTAATCTGCTTACAAAAAGCAAATCTGTAATACACTGAAAGTACTCAATTGTTGTTGAATGATACCTTGAGAGACTGGGTGAAGGTCTGATCTCAAGAAGACTTTTATTACGGCTTGAGTGGATTTACAATAAGGATCGACAGACTTATTGAGGGTGCCAATAAGGTTGATCAGACTTATTGTGAGTTATTCTGTAATCAGTTTGATTATAGTGGATTAAGTCCTTGTTGAAGGCGAAATTATCCTTGAGGGGGTGGACTGGAGTAGCTTAGTTAATAGAGAACCAGGATAAAAATCATCGTGTTCATTTACTGTTATGTTCTAAGATAACTTGTCCTATCACCGCCAAAAACATTTAATTTGGTGAAATCCAATTCAAACCCCCCTTTCTTGTGTTTCTCACATCTTCAATTGGCATAAGAGCTCCGGTTCTAGTATTAATAGTTATCAAACACTTAATCGCGTCAGATAAAGATCCAGGCGAGGTTTTTCGTTGAAGAAACACAATGGTTGAACCCACACCAGCTGTTGTTGCAACATATTCAAACGATAAAAGTTACAATGTTAAACCTCCCATATTTTATGGAGAAAAGTTTGAATACTAGAAATATAGACTAGAAAGTTTCTTTCTAGGTCGTGATGTTGATCTTTAGGATATGGTAGTTGATGTCTATGTACCTCCCACTGATAGTACTGGAAAAAAGATAGTTATGAGAGTTATGACTGATCAACAAAAGAAAGATTGTAAGAATCATCATAATGCAAGAACCATCTTGTTGAATGCAATTTCTTATACTGAGTATGTGAAGATCACAAATAAAGACTCTGCTAGGTCTATATTCGATTCTTTTAAAATGACTCATGAAGGAAATGATCAAGAGAAAGAAACCAAGGCGCTAGCCTTGATTCAAAAATATGAAGCTTTCAAAATGAAGGATGATGAAAGCGTTGAAGTCATGTTTTCAAGATTTCAAACCCTAGTTGCAGGATTGAAAGTTCTAAACAAAGGATACTCAATGGTAGATCATGTGAAAAAGATTATCAGAAGCTTGCCATCCAAATGAAGGCTTATGGTAACTGCACTTAAGCTCGTAAAGGATCTAAACAACACTTCTCTATAAGAATTAATAAATTCTCTAAGAAGTCATGAGATTGAGCTAGAACAAGATGAACCGTAGAAGAAGATAAAATCTATTGCGCTCAAATCTGTTAGATGAGAAGTCCAAAGCTCTTCAAGCAGAAGAGATTGAGGATTCAGAAGGAGATTCAGATGATGAAGAAGATGAGTTGTCTTACTAACTAGGAGGTTTAACCATCTCTGGAAGAGAAATTAAGGCAAGAAGTTTAGAAGTTCAAGAAGTACTAGAGGTCGCTTCGAATCATCGTTTGGTCAAAGTAAGTCCATGTAACGAAATCATTTGTTATGAATGCAATGAACCAGGACACTACAAGCATGAATGTCCTCAGCATCCAAAGGACATACTAAGGAAGAAAGATCTCAAAGTCAAGAAGAAAGTGTTAGAACAAGATTAATTCTGATCTATCTCAGAGTTTTGATGATAACAATAAATTATATTTTAGATAATTTATACTCTGATAAACGTATTTGAATGTTTCAGATAATGTTCTGACATAAGAATTCTGAAGTGTTAAGCTAAAAATTATGAAGAAGTTCTTTAATGAAAGAACCTTTTTGTTTTAAGCGCAACTACTGACTCTGGTAAGACAATGTATTTAAATGTATCTTCTAACATTTAGCAGGATTCCTTGCTCAGAAGATTACTTGAAAGCAAGTGTTGTTCAGAAGTTATTTGAAAGCAAGCGTTGATCAAGTTCTTAGCAAGCAAAGCACTGCCTAGAAGATGAGTAGATCATGTTCTGAATTCAAGACGTTGAAGCAAGTTTTGAAAGAACGTTAAATCCAACTTGTCTTGTCAAGCGTAGGAAACATGTTCTTACAAGTTGTCGTTTGCTCATTAATGCAAAGACGGCTGCAAGCACTCAAGTGTCTAAGCTAGTTTCTTGGAAAATAGAATAGTGAAAGGAAACACATAAGCATTTAATGTTCTCCACTTTGCTGAAGGCAACAACAGTCTTTTTGTTCCTACTATAAATAGAAGGGCATTTATTGCAAGCCAACTAACCAATCAAATTTCAAAAAGAAGCAAGAAACTACGTGAAAAAATATGGGCTCACAAACTCTTTGTTCATACAATTTGTGCAATTTATTCTAAGTGAAAAATCATAATTGTGATATAGCTTGATTAGAAGCAAAATTTTATTTCACTATCTATAAGATTAAACTCTTGTAAGTGTTCCTTGAGAGACCAAGTTTGGTCAGATTTATCAAGTAGACTAGGACTAGATTTAAGTCTTAGTGGTGTTAGTCACTTGTAAGATTACTTGTGCATTATTAGTCACAACAGTTGTTGTGTATTTGTAATCAGTTGATTATAGTGGATTAAGTCCTTGTTGAGAAAGGCAAAATCACCTTGACGGGTGGACTGTAGTAGTTTGAGTTCAAACGAACCAGTATAAAAATAACCTTGTCTTTCCATAATTGTTAAGCTTTGTTTTGAAAAGAAAAAGAGTCACTTATTCACCCCCCCCCCCTTCTAAGTGTTTTCTTACCCCTTCAATTGGTATCAGAGCTTGACTCTGAGCACAACACTTAACCGTGTCAGGAAAAGATCCAGAAGAAAACACAATGGCCGCTGAACAAAACAATAATAGTCACAACAAACCTCCTGTATTTGATGGAGAAGATTTTGAGTACTGGAAAGATAGACTAGAAAGTTTCTTTCTAGGCCATGATAGTGATCTTTGGGATATAGTCTTGGATGGTTACACACATCCTACAGACTCAAAAGGAAACAAAGTGGATAGAAAAAATATGGATAGACAACAAAAAGCTGATTTTAAAAATCATCATAGAGCTAGAAATATTTTTCTAAATGCTATCTCTAAAGTAGAATATGAAAAAATAACTAATAGAGATACAACGCATGATATGTTTGAGTCTCTTAAAATGACTCATGAAGG